GCATTTTGATCGGAGGCGCCCGTAAAATACCCCCTTTGCTCGAGCAAGGCCAACATAACATTTGTGATTTGAAAGTTCCCCGCCCGGATTCGGGGAGGAACAATGGCACTCGCGTACCCTTGATTTGGAAGAACTCTTGGGACTGCTCTTAGCGGTGGCGGAGGAGGGTCTGGAATAGGATGTCATTTGCGTTGGCCGGACGGCCTCTACGTGGAACTTGAGGTGGTATAACCTCTTCGGGCTCAAGATTATCTACCTCCTCCCCCGCATTCACGCTGCCAAGAGGGTCGTTTGCATTGAGAGTCATAGTACCTGATTGATCGACTCAAACAGAATTAGTAAATAAGAAGGGAAGAGAAGCAAAACACAAAACTAACTAAACCGATAGTCAACACCGTAAGCTCCCCGGTAACGGCGCCAAAAAGTGATCGCGGCCGTCTCAACACTACACAATGGTAGGAAGAGCGGGTAGCAACAGCTTTTACCCGAATAGTGGTTCGGGATCGAATTTCCACAGGGAGCTTGGAATGGAGTTGTATTGCCTGTTTAGCCTAGAATTGCGTTTGTACTTCTAATTGCACTCCTAACATTTTTGGGGGTTTTTATATTTAAAACTTCTATTGTAATCTAAGGATTAAAGCTAAATTATGCTAGGAGAATATTGCTAAGTTGTGCTTAATATAGGAAAAAGGCACTAGGGTCGTGACACTACCTAGGTGGCTAGCTAACGGGTAGAAGCTACTAAGGGGAGATTGATAAATCTGGGTTTATTGCTATAACCGTTGCACAATTGCACTCATTCTCACACCTCTCGGTAGAGAGAACGATTTTTGCCCAATTGACTCTCTCGAGACCAATTAGGTAGGCCAATTAGACCGAGCAACTAGGGCTCAAGTAGGGTAGTTACTCTTTCGAGGTTTAACCCGTTAATTGGGACTACCATTCTCATGGGTCCATCCCAATTCCTTGTTAGGTCAACTTTTAGGGTCATATGACTCTCTTTCTCAAGAAGAGTTAGACCCACTAAGCTTGAATTCATGTTTGCAACCATAAATTCTAGATTGAAACACAAAATTAACCCAAATAACAAATACCCAATCTCAATCTCACCCTAGAATGCAACACCCATTGACTACCCATACTAGGGTTGAGCCACAACCCTAGCTAATGGGTTTAGCTAGACATAATTAAAGAAGAAACAGTAGAAATAGATGATGAAAATAACATAATGATTGATTACTAATTAGAAATTATGATATTGAAGAGGAAAATTACCAAAATAGGCTACAGAATACTTCTCACGAGCGCAGCTCTTGTTCAAAATCTAAAACTTGACCTAAAAATGGTAAAAAGATCTATTTATACCGAACTGGAAAATCTCGACAAAAATACCCCTGCGGGGTCAGCGCGGACCGCGCAAAAAGGTCGCGCGGCCGCGTAGGCACTTTAACTCTCAAATCTCATCTCTGAAGTTGGGGGGCCGCGGACCGCGCAGAAATGTCGCGCGGCCGCGGCGGAGGGTCGGCGTGGACCGCGCAGGAATGGGGCGCGGCCGCATAGCTTGACTTGGTCAAATCTCCATGTCTCTGAATCTCTTTCACGCAGACCGCACTGATATGCAGCGCGACCGCGTGGGACTTAAGCCTGCACTGGTAGTTCTCTGGACTTCCCTTGCACGGACCGCGCAGAAATGGAGCGCGGCCGCGAGGCTTGCACCTCAATTCACCCCTCTCTGAATCTCCTAGCGCGGCCGCGTGGCATATCAGTGCGGTCCGCGCTAGGTCTTCCTGTTCCTCAACTTCACTTGTTCTTGACACTTGGCAAGTTTCACTCCGTTTCGAGCCGATCTTTGACATTTGTCACCTTTTCGCTCAAACCTGCAATCAAGCACAACTTGTAAGCCTTTTGGGATTATTTTGTGGCGATTTGTAACAAAAGCAATAGCAAGTAAGGGGTATAATCATGGTAAAATCCTAGCTTATCACTGCCATTGATCAAATCCTGAAAGAAAGACAAGTGATGGCGAAGGTGATGAAGGAAAACTTAGAAAAGGCTCAAAACAGGATGAAACTTTATGCTGACAAAAGAAGAACTCAAAGAGAATTTGCATAAGGTGATTGGGTATATCTGAAGTTACAACCATACAGGCAATCATCAGTGGTTGTGACGAAGAGTCTGAAGCTAGCTTCTAAATTCTATGGATCTTATCAGATCATTAAGAAGATTGGTCCTGTTGCTTACAAGCTGGAATTGCCTCCTACAGCAAAAATACACCTTTGTTTCACATATCTCAACTTAAGAAGAAGGCTGGGAAGCAAGTTTTTCCCTCTATTGATCCTTCAATTTGCTCCCCTGAAGGACAGCCTCTTGTTGAACCTGTTGCTGTGCTATAGAAGAATGGTGAAGAAAGGAAACTGACCTGCTACTCAGATACTAGTGCAATGAGCTAATTTGTTACCAGAAGAAGACACTTGGGAATATTACAATTTCATCTAGTCTCAATTCCCAAACTTTAAAGATGAACCTTGAGGGCAAGGTTCTCAAGGAGGATGGATTGTCAAGAATTCTGTTAAGTTTTATTTAGTCCATGTTATATTTTAGTGGTAGTTTACATTATGTCAATTAGGTCCCTTAATTTAGATTATCTTTCCAATTAAGTCCATATGTATGTTATCAAAACTTAGATAGGTGTCAGTCTTAGAATTCGTATAGGGAATCCAATGTCAGATTATTTTTATGTACGCAGAGTCTGTACTGTGGAGTCTTACCTTTTATAAAATTATCATTTCTTTTTATCCTTTCTCTCTCTTCTCTCTCTTTCTCTTTCTCTCTTCTCAACTTTAGTAAAAGAGCTCTATTACAAGAGAGATTAGTTTCTCAATAACTAGCAAAGATTACACAATTCCGTTGAAATCAAGAAAATACTATCAAATTGGATATGTTTTCTTGATAAAAGTACTATTACTTTTTTTTGTGTGTGTGGTAATAATCATTACGTTTCACGATCCTAAAGGGTGAATTAAATTGTTTATATAAGCAGTTTACGATCTATTCCTGAAAATCCTTAATTACATTAACTTCTATAAACTTTCACTTTATGGTCATTTGTTCTAATATCTTTTAGTGAGTGCTTAACCCAAAAAGGTATTACTAATACCTCACATTGTACAAGAGCTTGGTAATAATTATTTACGGAATATCATTATCTGGGCAGGGTATGATACATTGGTCTATGCATAAATTAACTGGTCGATCACCGTTATATTACTCAGATTTTTTGACAATCACATCCCTCTTGTGGAATTCCCCCATAAGTCATAGTTTTAATTAGTCATAGATGATTTGACTTCACCAACATACACTTACACACGCATAATTTATATTTATACTATATTAAAAGCACGAAGGCCCTTAGCGAAATATCGTTCGCCTATTTTATCCTTTAAAAATAGAGTTCATACTAGACAATATAGTCATTTAATTATTTTTCTAATATATAGGACTTCTAGATTAACTAAAATTTTGCCTATTAAATCTTTCCTTATTTAAACTATAATGTAGGAAATTAAATCCTAATATTTAGGACATCAAAGTTAATTAAATTTTACCTTTTATATATTTTAACAAATAGCTAATTCGAGAAGATTAAGAATCTTCCCAGCAAAAATAGAATGGTTTAGTAAGAGAAAAAAATGACTTAGATTTCAACTAGAATTAATCATAAAAGTCTAGAATTTTAAACGTGACAACCTAATTGAGTGCAACTTACATTTTTCTTTAACGTTAAAGTCCTTTTCATTTGTTTCTTTTCCTTTTGTTAATTTACAAACGAAAGGCCATAATTTTATACTTGCAAATTGCAACAAATATTAATTTAACATTTTAATTATAAATACGAATAGATTTCATATTTTAAATACATGAATTAATAATTAAATGTGATTCAACCAATAACATTTATGTATCTAATAAAATAATAATAAAAATATAATCGCAACTTTTTTTACTACGATCGAGTTAGGTTTTTAACCTCTAAATATTTTAAAATTTATATGCACTTAATTAATAAGTTATAATAATTATATTTAGCTACAAGCTATGTAATGAGTGAAAAGGGATACATATGCAAAATATATTTTTAAAAATCTATCTATTTACACTATTATAAAAGCATGAAACTCTAACGTATTATGATTTTCACGTCAAACCCCAAACCCTATGTCAGTTAGCTGATCATGTTTGTATTTTCTATGATGAACTTACGAACATTTGTTTTCCAACATCAAAACTCTTAAATCTTCAAGAGTTATGCGTTTTTGCTACAACTAAAAAGGGAGTATGAAAAAAAGGAAGTGTGATAATTTCAATAAAAAGGGAGTATGAAAAAAAGGAAGTGTGATAATTTGTGAAATTGAAGTAATGAAATTATAAAACTTGACAAAATTAAAGTCGAACATATTGATTGAGGACTTTTATGGGCATATTTTCTTCCTTTATTGTATTAGCTAAAGAAGATCAATGATCATCATTTTCAGGAGCTTATACCTTTTATTTTAACTTTTATTTTTAGAATTAACTCAAATATATTTTTAATATAATATTTATGTAAGTTATAAAAAATTTATATCCATTGAGATCAGATACACGCGCAACATGCGTATCCAAAGACTAGTAAAATTAAGGTTGAATACATACCCCTCAAACCTACCAAAAAGTTTGGGGGCCGTATCTTATTTTATTTTATTCTTAAAAAAATCTAAGACAATATTGGAGGTGCCACCTCCAATTACTCGGGAATTAGATCAGATAAAAACCTACTCGTACCTTATCTTTACACTTTTATCACTTCCTTTGTTGGCCCCATTCAAATCTTCCAAAACCCAATATATACTCTTCATTCTTCAATTCCTGCTTTAGCATTCTCTTCTTCTTCCAAAACCTCTCACTTCCAAGTCTTTTTCCCTTTTCTTCATTCTTTACAAATACAACAGAAAAAATCCATGGACAAGACAGAAAGAGAAGCTCTTGAATTCATGAACGTGGAGAGCTTCTCCCAGCTAACTCCCTTTATCCGACCACCACCACCACCACCACCTGTTAAAGAAAAGCCCATTCGGCTTTTCGGCAAAGAATTTGGCGGTGGTAGTAATGCTACGACCACCACCGACATGTCCGAATCCATTGACAGTAACCCTTTTCATGACGAACCTGAAACAAATACTGTGAATCCTGCCAACTATGCTTATAAAGAAAGTCAGAGGAAATATGAATGTCAATATTGTTTTAAAAACTTCCCAACTTCTCAAGCCTTAGGAGGCCATCAAAATGCACACAAGAGAGAACGCCAGGATGCCAAACGAGCTCATCTTCAGTCTGCCTTAGCGCATGGTAAGATAATACTATCGTATCCTCCCTCCTTTTGAGTTTATATATGTTACCCTAATATTTCTAAATTTGAATATAATTTTAAATTAAATTTTTATAGTCACACAAATATAATATTATGTTTAAGATCACAAGTTTCAAAAGTGTTATAGGTAAACAAAAAATGGTATGACAGAAAATATTTCCTACAAAATGTTTTCACAAATACCAAACTATGTTCTCCCTCAAGAATATTGTTTTCCATTAAAAAGGGAAAAATAACCATTCTCCACTTACGTTTTTCTTGATAGTCCATTAGAAATAATTCTTAAATTTTGAGAGTATTGGATAGTGAGAGAAAGTCTTTTCTCTAGAAAATATTTTCAGTCATAACAAACACACGCATAATACTCATATTCATTCAACATGGGATGGTAGTATCGTTATTATATTGTGTTGTTACTTTAAATATAACGTTTATTTCTTATCGACAGAGGCAAGTATATATGGGATAATGAACCATCATCGCCTTGGTGAACCAGCAACTCCTAGTACTACTCGTCATTCAACATGGAACAACATTAACAATAGTACGAGGTTTTATGGAAACCATCATGTCAATAATGTTATTAGTCCTTATTCTCAAACTCCTATAAACAGAAATCCATTGGCATTTTGGCGGATTCCTTCAGCAGTTCATCAGAATTCTTCTTCTAACTTAGGGTTTCCTAATGATGATTTGAAGCCTTTTCCAATGGTTAAAAGCCCTAATTATGATAGCAGATTTGAATATGAACCCAAGGGAGGAGTTCAAGATCATTTGAGTTTAGATTTGCACTTGTAAGGATGGTGTAATCTTAATAATTTCTTTTGAGACAAATGTCTACTTCTTTTTGAGAACTTGTGCTGAAGAATTAGCTTAATAATGTTGTTTTCTCCTTGAATTTAACTATTGATAGTGTAAAGAGTTTTTACACTATTCGTGTAATTTAAACAGTTGCAGCTGATTGTGTGCATCATATATTTTTATTACTTATTCCACCTATTTGGAGAGTTAATTACTTATTTAGTACTCCCTCTGTTCCAATTTATGTGAACATGTTTGACTGTGCACGCAGTTTAAGAAAAAATGAAGATTTTTGGAATTTGTGGTCCTAAATAAATCAAAAAGGGGTCCAGAGTATTAGTGTGGTTGTAAAAGCTTCTTATTAAGGGTAGAATTGGAAGTTTAAGCTAAATTGTTTCCATATTAATCATTCGTTTTGGAACGGACCAAATAGGAAATAGGTTCAAATAAACTGGAACGGAGGAAGTATTCTTTTATTTGATGTAATGACGTAAAAATTCTTTTACTGTACCAACATATATAGAAGCATGAACTGTTCTCTAATTTCTGCTTGTGGATGTGTTGGGTGTGGGCGTGGAGTGTCCGGTGCAAAAACTTTGCCAAAAAGGCCTTAGATGTGAAAAAACTAGGCTACTTATATATTCGTGATATTTATTTTATGTGATACTCTTTTGTTTTTGGTTTGCTCCAGAAAAAATGACATCTTTCTATATTTAAAAGTAATTTAATTTTAAACTTTTCATTTTACTCTTAATGTCCTGATTTTTGAAGTCCTTTTTTCTTTATTATGTACCGTTTTCAGTCAAACGCCTTCACATAAAATGCAACAGATGGAGTTGTATATCGAATTTGCAAACTAATATGAGACTTTAACAGAAAAGTTGTATTCCAAAGGGGGGAAAAAGAGTAGGAAATATTGTTCAGGTTAGGTTTCTCTGCATGAAATGTTACTCCTAGAGTATAATTTTATAGAAAAGAAGACTGATGTTTCTATAGCATCAGATTCAGCGTCTCGTTCGTTGATGAATATTCTTCTTCTCCTCTATCGAAGAGAGAGGGGAGCGCAACTTGTATATATATGCATGTATAGCATTGGGTTAAGGATAATAAATTCATGAAATGACACATACAGAGACTTGGTTTTTTTCAAACATACTCCTAAACTGTCTTCTTTTTCATTAAAATACAAATGCAACCTATAAAAACAACTCTTTAGTCAAGGGCGCGTGAATACGTTTTAGATGTTTCTAATTGCATATACGTTTTAGATGTTTAGTTGCTATATACAGAGGCGGATCCAGAATTTTTACGCGACGGGGCATATTATTTTGTTCAACCAGTGCCCCTTAAAGGCTTTTAGTGTTCAGGGTGTCAACTGCTTTAAATTAACGACTTTCAAAGTATATACGTATATATATACAGAATTTCGGTCGAAATTTACAGGATCCGGTGACCCCTCATCACCCATACACATGGGTCCGCCAAAGGCTATATATATATATACAGATATAGATATAGATATCGGCCGTGACGCTTCCTGTTTAGTACATAATGTTGACTTGAAGTTTGTTTACACAGTACGAAAACCGATTCTAAAGAATGGGACTCCGTCTTAAGCAACTTCTTTATTCAAAACAAAACAAAACTACATGTAATGAACATTATCTATCTATACTATATTAAAAGTAGGAAGGTCTTAAGTTAAAAGTTGAATTACAAAAATATCCTTCAAAATTTACTGTCCATTTTGCCCTTCACGAAAATAAAAATTATCGGCCTCCTACTCAGTTTAAGATACATTAAAGTAAAATAAACCAATACACTGACCAACATGACTCTTCGTTCCTATAAAAAAATTAAGATGAATTTGAGACCCAATTTCAAACGTTAAATTATCAAAATACATTTATGAAATAGATAAACAAATAAATAACTTTAACTTTATTTGACTCTAAAAAATTAATTAAATTATGAAAAGACACAACTATAAGTAAAAGACACTATTCAAATAAGTTATTTAAAGATATAATATTAAACTACATTCGTATATTCTTAAAAAATCATTTATGAAAGGACACAAGCATAAGCAAAGAGACACTCTTGAAATCAATTGTTTCAAAATTAATCCATGCCTTTATTAAACGTGATGTTGGTTAGGGTAAAAAAAGATGAGAAATTAGAGCATGTAGATGAAAGTACAGAAATACACGTTCCCCTAACTCTCCCAACATATGAAGTTTTTAGGTGGGATTGAATTTAATTTATAACGTAAAGCAAGACATTATACGTTATTTCTTGAGTAGGAAAAAATAGGTACTGATTTTTTCGCATATACATGCAGTTTATAACTTGACACTACAATATCGATTAGGTAGTGAGAAAATTGCAAGTACCAATGCCAAGAACAATAGGACAGACCCTTGCATCGATTTGTGCTTTGTACATGCAGCTTGTACGTTGATAATTTATGTCTCTCTTCTTTGCTTCATTTTGTGACTTTATTTTCACAAAATAATATCTTCAAGTATCTATCCGCACCATGAATAATATGACATTCTCTTATTCTTTGATTTTATGGCTTTCTTTCGTCATCAAGAATGACTCCCTCTGATTTTTATTTTTGTTTTTTTTGTATCGTTATGAAGGTGCAATTGAAGCATACAAAAAATATTGTTAGAAGTTTGGTGCTACAGGAAAAGGTATATATAGATTTGACTTCATTTCTAATCTACTTCTCTTTTGGAAAATCCTTCATAGCCTTCAATTTCGAAAGTGTTCATAACATAGATACTAATATTAGATAGTTGAGGTGAGAATATTTTTGGTTCATTCATCTCTATGGTTTGGTTTTTCATAAATACGACTTTAATATTCAGTATGATACATCAGTTGTAAAAATATTTAGTTAGAGAAGTTAACTTAGGCATTATATGCTCATAAGCATTTTGGTCAAATGAATGTATTTCGAAACTGCTTCATAAGGTTAAATCTAAGTCCTCTAGCTTTTATTTTAACTTATTCTGCATGGTATCGTTATTAATTAATAAATTTCCAATAATAAGTTTGAAAATACTGATGTAATTGCAACATAACTTATCGAAAACTATTTTATGCATCAATTATTATTTTGTATTTGAGAAACTAAACATGTCGAAGATGGAGGAAATAAAAAGAAGAACAAGAAGCAACGACGATAATTGGATATTAAGAAGATTATATGTCCTCTCAATTTATGTTTTACTACACCATATTTTTACAACGAACTATCAACAATTATTATTACTTACATGAGTTATGTTAGCATTTGTACAATAATCTAGAGTCATATCAGGTAATTAAGCATGGACGAGGTTAGTTCATATGCGTAGAATTACCTTTATAAACTTACTCATACATTTAAATTAATTGTGTAATTACTTCTATTTTTTTGTGTATGTATTAATGTTTATATACTTATTCAATTTACTAACGGGTTAATCAAGAAGGATATGAAAAGTATAGTGAATCATAAATCAGATCACTAGCCTGTTACAATTGGGAAAAAAAATCAAAGAGCCATGAAGAAGAAAGTGGCAATAAAATTGGATTTCTACTTTTTTTACCTAAAGTATTTTACCCTTAGTGATTTATAAAATCCAACTTCTATTAAACCAATTAAAATCCAATGATCTTAAAAAATATTTTATTTGCATGAAATCAATTTGTTGGTACATAATTTAGTAGCATGCATGAAACTATGTGAAAGATTGCTTTTCAGGTTACAAGACGTAGAATATTATATAAAAGCCACCATATTTTTGTTTTCTCCAAAATTTATTTCTTAACAACCACGCAATACATAAGTTAACATAGATGTGCAACGCACGAGGAACTAGTATTATATACATATATGTCCTAACTTTGCCACTAGATCTACCGCCCACTCCCTGTACGTACAAGGATTAGAGGAAGATGTTATGGATAAAGGAAAAGGAGAGTTACAGAAATTGGATACTGGAATTGTCGAAGTAGTTTATGTGTAGGAGAAGACATCAATTTGCTCTTTCAATAACTCAAAAATAGTATGGATACTGAAAACTTGTGGCAATACTTAAGATCACAAGCTTCAAAAATTTTTTATTTCTTTAACTCTCTGTATACAACCAAATTATGTTACGTTACATAAATTAAAATGGAGAGAGTACTAGAAACATGTGATTCTGCTTGAATTGTCCGTTGGACGTTGTCTAACATGATCCTGGACATATCTTTGTGCCTTACATCTTAACTGAGAAAGTCCAAACGATACTATAAATAGAGATACAAAGTGTGTCTGCATGTTAAATTTCTGAAACTAGCATCCCATGAAAGACAACCCTACAAAAAATTATGAAGTGCCAAGTAGTAAGATTTCTTTTTCGCCTCTCTTTCTGTCCTTTCTCTAACAGTGAACGTGGTACTACAATTATTCCCATGAAAATGTAATAAAATTGTCTACATGTGACTTATAGATCACAGTTTCAAGCCATGTACTGTTGATGCTTGTGTCAAGATAGGATGTGCCTAAATTATACCTTCTTGTCTCGAGGTGCGAGTACTCTTCCTCGGATCTTGTGTGAACTTAGGATACATCATGCACGGGACTGTCCTTCTATACTTTTAATTTGTCCAATTCGGTCATGAAGCATTGCAATTACAATAATGTATCTTATGGACCTATGGTTATGTCTTGTCACGACCCAATTCCCACCCGGTCGTGATGGCGCCTCTCGTGAAGACAAGGCCAGCCAACAGAACAATCAACACTGCCTTTAACAATTTCTTAGCATAAACAGGTTTAAATCATAGATACTAATTAATCATAAGTGCGGAAATAAACGTAACATGACGGTGAAAAACCATCCCAAACTCAGCCCGATGATCGGGGTGTCACAAGTCACGAGCTACTACAGAGTTGATGAAAATACTACAAGTCTGGAAACATAGTCTGAAGATGAATAAAGTATGCAGAAGATAAG